TTTGTATTGTAGCGTAAACATTTGATGTCGTCCGCGTAAAAGACGACATGTACCTTCATCAATTGGAAATTAAGGCCATATATAAATACTCATGTATTACATTCATCACTAGTAATTAGTAAATTAAGAGACGTAAAAACATAATCTATCTATTTAATAAAGACGAGAAAGCGTAAAAAATACAAAATAACAAACACTGTTCTTATTTATTCATAATCACACATTATGAGCGACCAGTTACATATATATCCAACCATAACCCCCACAGCTTCAGCAAAAATAAATAAATAAACAAATAAAACAACATAATTAAGCCCACACACAAACCCTAATTAGTTTCCCAACTCTGATATTCTTTAATACCACAACTCAATGTATACCTGACTTATAAGAAATAAAAAATCTAACATAATACATATGTGTATATAACGTATGTATGTATGTATGTATTTCTACATATAACATAATTAAGACAATGTATATATAGAAAAGAAAAGCTAGATCAGAGTGAAGAGGAAACTAACTACATGTAAACTAATACACAAGAACCCGTTTTTTTTTTTTTTTCATTAATACCCTTATTTGCTCTTCTTTTTGTTTGATTTCTGTTTCTGATCCGGGGGTGAGAAGATGGACTGTGCATTGTATTGGTAGCTCTGGTTGCCTTGGTTGCTTTTGTTTTCATCATTAGGTCTTGTCCAATTGACCCCCACGCAATCTTTGGCAGAATATTGAGAAGATGAAATGGTAGTAGTACCGTTTGAAGACATTTTTTTTTTTTCGAAAGATGATGAACCAAAATAACTTGTGGTTTTTTTTCTTTTTTTTTTGGTGAATAAAAAATAGCCTGCATTATGTCCATATTTATAACGCCTCTTGCCTGGCTAACTCATACATGGTTATTTTGAACAAGAAACCCATAATTTCCATGAAAATCAGCTTAGGAAATTTCTAATTGGTTTCAAGTTACATGGTTTGTGTGTTTGAATAGGAAAATAGGTTAGACTTGATTTCAAATTTCAATTGGTTTTAGAAGGAACAGAAATAATAAATGCATGCCCGACCGACTTGATTTTTTTTTTCTATATATATATATATATATATATGTATATATTTTATATAGTTTCTATATATATAGTATTCTTCGACCGAGTGGAATTCGTGGTAGTACATAAAAAGAAAGCATTGTTGAACTTCTATTTGTATTGCCGATATCCAATAGTAATAATAATAATAAGGATTTTATTTGCTATATATATATATTATATAGTTTCTATATATAATATTCTTCAACCGAGTGGAATTTGTGGTAGTACACAAAAAGAAAGCTTTCTAAAACTTTGATATATTTGTTTTGGAGATATCCAAAAATAATAATAATAATAATAATAATAATAATAATAACTACTAGTTAATAGATCTCAATGTAAGTTTCCGGTAATTTTCTCGCAAAATAAAATCAATATTATGATATATCAAATATAGCGTGCTATATGTATATCTGTACAGAGAGAGACTCTCGTCCTGCAATAAGGAAAGCAAATTAATTAGATCAAAATTTTGTGTTCGATCCAACAATACGTGGAAAAAGTTTTTTTTTTTTTTTTTTTTTTTTTTGTGTTTATCTAAGTAAGGGTGGGGATATTGGAATTTTTTACCTCAACAGTATTAATTGGAGGTTGCAGTGTGTTTCCAGCCACCCTAAGCTGGGCTCATATTTCACCATTTATTCATAGTAGCTTAAAAACAAATTACTTTTTGATAGTAGTAACTTTTAGCAAACAAACATCAATGGGAAACATATTTGGTTTGCAATTTGAAAATGATAACATAAAAATTTTCGAAAAATTTCTTCTGGAAGTCGAATGATTTTATGAATAGTTTGACCTGATCATCTTGAGCTTACACGAAGTAATAACTTGGAATAACATATGATGTTTCCTTAATAATTTCTCTTCAATTGCACATGTAGATGATATTGACAAAAGCGAATGGTAGATGTAACTCGAAAAAAATTACATTAATGGCTTTGATTGGCACCATTTTGATTAACTGGTCATTATGTTCAGAAAAGCTAAGATAGAAATATAATTATTTGCTTGTTGAAAACACTGAATTATATATATATATATATAATAACACTGAACTATATATTTTACATTGTATTTTAATTAATAATCGTCACACACACACTTGATATCCTATAATGATAATTAAAGCCATTGTTAATTCGTTTATCTAGAAATGTATGTCGCCACTGTGGATAGATTTCACCGTGTAATTGGATTTCGTGAGACTTTGGTGTAGACATATTTTAACTTTCAAGTTCTGTACGCTTACATATTAATTGATACTATATAAAATTGCTCTACTATATCCCTTCATAAATTGGTCTTTGACTTTCCACGGGTATAATTTCTGTTAACTTTCTCATAAATATTACTGGTCAAAGTCGAACAAATAAAAGAAATAAATATATATTTTATTTATTTATTTATTTAAAGGAAAACTACAACTCGGCTTGTTGTCGTTAATTTGTTTTTTCATGAAGTTTCAGTCCCTAAACTTCTTCAAATTTGTTGATCGACAGTCATTCGCTATGTATCCTTATCTCGTTATTTGCTCAACTACCCACGTAAATAGAATTCCAAATTAAAATAATCAAATCATGTATGAAAGGTGCCCAAGATTTTCTACTAAATGAAGAAAGAAGAAAAAAGCAAAAGATATTAAAGATTAATTTTGGAATTTGATATATCGTAAGTCCATATATAAGAAAATATTAGGAATATGTATATTTCGAAGAAATTAATACTTCAAAGTTTGAATATATGTAACTTTGAATTTTTCATGCAAGTAAGATTTCCATGAGATCAAGCAATTTCACTTGGAGCTTTGCATGTCATTTGTTCGAAAGTGCCCTACTGTTAAAGACTTTTTTTTATTCAACCGTACTTATTGTTATTTTGTTTTTTAATTCAAGTTGCTCTTGTAATCTCTTCCTATAATCTCTCACGTAATCGCATCCTATATAATCTCTCTGATATCTATCTCATATATATATACACACACACACACACTAAGGCCCCAATTTTAGGAAGGCCTCAAATTTTTTCCAAAAAAATAGGCCTATATTTAGCCATTATCTCATTTTAAAAATTAATTGTAAATAATATTTTATTCATTGCTTTCATCTCCTAATTGCCTAATTTGGTAGGGAGCTTTTTTTTTTTTCTTAATTAAGTTGCCATTTTCTTAAGTGCTTTAAAACTGTCAGTGAGAATTTTGGGGAATGATGAGTGACTCACCCGCGACGTTTATTTGTGAATGTTTAAAAAAATGGAAAAAGGAAATTAAAACATCAAAAAGACTTCCTTTATTTTTTTCCAAAAAAAAAAAAAAAAAAAAAAAAAAAAAAACTTATAAAAAAAAATCAACGAACTCAAACGCTATGTACATATTCATTATTCATTTGCTATGTTTACATAAAAGCGACATATCGTCAGAAGCTTCTGTTCATTTATTAATAGATAGTTAGATGACATGTTTAATTATGACTCACATATTTGTGAAACGCTATGTCGTTTATCAGTTAGAATTTTTCAAAGAAAAATTTGGAGAATTCACTCTTTGACTGTATTGTTATAAAATTTTTACACTTTATTCTTAATTAATATCAGTTTTGACTAATATAATTTTTTTGATAAAAAGGTACTAAGAGGTGAAAATATTAGACCTATACATTCTAAGGGGGTATTTATCTATTTTTTCTCATTTTCAAAGTTTCTTCCCTTTTTTCCCAATATTTATCATTAAAAAAAATATCCGTTTTCAATATAATAAAAACGTGTAGAATCTGGTGTAGTTTATTCCACAGAATAAAATGAAAAGCAACGTGCAGCTATGGTTTACGTTCAGGAATGTCATCGTTTGATTTGGTACCAACTAGTGAAACGACAGGTGTTTGTAGTTTACTTTTGTTGTCGTTTAAGTTAAAAAAGACGACATACAGGTATCTTGTTTGATTCTTTCAAGCACACGTAGCTTTTTTAAAAATAAATAAATCAAATAAAGCACACGTAGTTGAAATCTCACGTATTTCCTGTGGGTTATACGTTAAAAAGTCCCTTTCTCCAGTAGTTAAACAGTTCATGTTTAACAATTAAAAGACAAGTTGGCTCTTTCATGATAATATTGATATATCAATAAAACGTGTGGAGTTTGGCGTTGACGTGTTGTTTCATCAATACCGACATCATGTTTTCCCAACATTTAAAAAAAAAAAAACAACAACAACAACATTATTTGTAACACAAACATTTACTAAAAATAGACGTTCAAAAAGGCCAAAGAAAAATGATTTTCATCGCCACTCACATAAGTACCGAAAAAATATTGGTCCCATTTGTAAGATCCAAAGGTCAAACTCAAGTGTGTTGTGGTGATTATCATTACTTGTCACGAACAGCAACATGCTTAAAGCAATAAAAGTTGGGAAAATACAGAATGACACGAAATATTAAACCGAAGGAACACTATTTCCAACTCTCCAATTTCTTCAAAACCATGAATACTTTTCCATCAAAAAAATTTCTTCAAACCCAAATGCAAATCAAGCATGGTTAACCAAGAGATCACGAGGGACTTAAACCTGCTTGATGGAGAATTAGGATAATACTCACAGAATCGAACATGGAGAATCATACAAAGCACCAACTTAAAATACAATGCCAAGATATTCCACTTATTTAATATTACTAGGAGACAAATAAATAATTTATTAGAGAATTTATTAGATACCGAAGTACCAGATGAAAACATCATTTAAGGAGATGTTTAGTTGGAGGATTCAAATAATGATTTGAATCATGGTTCATGGTTCGCTACAGTGTTTTCTCTCACAAAAAATACACGTAAATTTAAAATAGTTCTAATCACATGATTCTAATTCATAAACCAAACGTCTCCTAAAACAAAATCATTTAGAAAATAATGCCATCAGAGTATGATTTACTATGCATTCAAATGAATTATGGCACAATCCAACAAGAATGAGATGTGTATAAATATAAATTTAACCAAGTAAGCAGCTGTCTATGCAAAGGAAATTGGAGAGGCCTTGGAAGTGGTAGAGAAGCTTTTGTAAGTTTAGTTTGTGCACCTCCTATCACGTCTCATTATAGCTTTTTGATAGATATGGTCCAAAGGAGATCCGACTCGGATTGCACTGTTGCCTTCTCTCCTTCAACTATGTTTGAAGTACTTACTAAACCACCAAAGTTCATTTCTGTCTCATCTGAAATGGACAAACATAACAGTGAGTCTGGCTCCACCACTCTTAGCAGAAAAAACCACAGCTACAAACAGCAAAAACTTTTTAAATATGATTATGGCACTATAAAAACCATTTCTATCATGTCACACCAAAACTAATTGTAGTCAAAGAGTATTGAAATTTAAAAGTAGAAATAGACTTTGTCAAGATGGATTTACATGTCCTGCTATTAATGCTTTTCTTGTTTGGTCACCAGTCATAAAGCAAACGAGCCCCAAAAGATATCAAATAAAGTCGCCGAACAAAAGCATAGTCGAATCATTCAATTTGCCTCATTTAAATTTGGTCAGATATAATAAATAAGCTAGGATCTAGAGGTACATCGCAGATGGGACATAACCAGAAAATCAAAATTCAGGGTTACCGTAACATGTTAAAACAGTAAATGGAAGCACCCATATAGTAAACTGCACTGAAAATACTTACTCAGATCCCACTTGAGGCCAGTGGTTGTAGTCCTCCCAGATGGCATCCCAACGGGAATGAGTCCACAATGTGGGCCTTCGACAGATGATTGAACATGAATCTCATGATGGTGAGATTTTGGAAGAAGGTGAATGAGGCAATCATCGGATAAAAGAACTATTCGCAAGGATGAAAACCGGTATAAAACGTTAATGTTTCCCATCTCGTGGTCAAACCGACCACCAAGTGCCCCAGCAACCAGAATGCATAGCTATCAGCAGAACAACAAAAAGTTAATCAAAATGCTATTATGAGCAAATACGTTATAAACCAAACTCAGCAAAATCTCAGTCTCATCTGGGGTTCAAAAGGGTTTGGATGTCGTGGTTCAAACCAAAAGTACCTAAAAAAATCATAATGAAGCTGAACCTTACCCATACAGGAGCATATGAAAAGAACCAGCTTACGTTAGACTTATCCGCGTTTGGTGTGAAGTCCCGTATGTGTGTTATACACTTGTGTAAATCTGTGGTATCCTGATCGTGAGACTCATCTACAATCTGGGTTCCCTGCATCCAGTAAGCCAACAATGAAATTCTAAATAAGGTTTCCACAGCACCGAATAAATGCAAACTGCAGGGTGGCAACATCATAATAACAGAATGTAGAAAGCTAAATTCCCCGAGCCAGGTCAGATAAAGGATTGTCACCTTGCTTCTGTAAAAATCAAGGACTTCTGTACGAACTGAATCCATATCACCTTTAATAACATTAGGCGTGTACCTAGTTCAAATTCAGGCGAAGAACAACGTAAGTTCATCATTACGTCTTCACAAATTGATATTGAATTAAAATAGACAAGGAGGAAGCTCAAACAACCACAATGTACAAGTCCCGTGGTATCATCGCCTACTATGACAACCGAGAATTAAATTAAAGCACCCAAATATCCAAAATATTCCAAACAGGAAAGGACACTACAAAGAATGAAAAACACATCTTTAACATGTTAATTTAGACTCCAATTTGCAACTCCCTTTTTCCCCCTTTTTATTTTGCTCTTTTAATTGAAAATCAAGAACTTTGGGCTCCAAAGTTTAGTTTTACATACTTGAGAAAAGATCAACTTCATTTGAAATAGTGCAAAAATTTATTTATTTATTTCCAAATATAACAGACGTGTTAAGAACATAACACAAAGAAAAAGGTTTATTTACCCATGTTTATCAATCAAATAACTAATCTGGAACCACAAGTACAGGAATGAGAATAAAACTACTTTAATTAACTTTTCACAAAAGAAAACCAAACAAAACAAAACATAGAAAAGGAAACGAATTAGAAGGAAGCAAGCAATTCCCGAATTTTCCAAAAAATGCGTGCTCAAAAGCAAATAACACAGCCAAATTTTGCGAAATTAAATAAACAAGAAGCGACAACATCACGATTGATTTAATAACCATAAAAAAACAAAAAAAAAAATCACAACTCAAATGCCTCAACGACAAACAAAAACAAAACAAAACTGTGAAATCGACATAAACAACGAAAGAGAATCTTTCTTCTTTGGACCAGAAAAAAAAAAAAAAAAACACCTGTTTCGAACATCGGAAGCCTCTTCGTGAGGAAAAAACAGAGGAAATTCATCGTAGACGCGGTTCGCACCTCCGTCGGCGCACAAACGCAGTTGTGCTGCTCTAAAACGAAAACGCACAAAAAGGACAACAAATTTCTCAGCGAACCAAAAAATCAAAACAAAAAAAAAAAAGAAATTTAGTCCAAATAATTGACTGATAGTCTATGAAGACGAAGAAATGAAGAAGAAGAGCGCAGGAAGAGTTACCGTGGTTCCAGAGCAGGGGAGCGAATCTCGGGAGGTTCTGGTTAAGGACAACGAGTGCGTAGGATGGAGGAGGGCAGTGGCCGGCAGGGATTGGTGGAAGGAGGAAGGCTGAAGAGTGGAACATAACCTCCATTGATTTGGATTGATGCTTAACGTGCGCTTAAACTTTGATTAGAGAGAAGAATAAGTATTATATTCGAAAAACTGGCATGACTTAAATTAAATTCCTTGCACCTTGAGACTGTGTCCCAAAAAAAAAAAAAAAAAGATCAAGGAGGGGAGAAGAGGACAGACTAATATTAAGTCAAAATGTCCGACTTTTTGCAACTTTTGGTTGCAGAGGGAGAGCCGGATGGCCATACGAAAATAAATTTAATAATGACCCCCATGGACATCATCATATCAACCGACATTATACTGCCTATTTGCCTATTTGGCGTCCGATAAATAATTAATTAATTAAATCAACAAAATATAAAATAATAGAATACACCTTTTTCTTTTCTTTTCTTTTCTTTTATAGTTAGGGTGAGAGAAAAATATATTAAAATTTAAAATGAATTAAAATTAATAGATTAATAATTTATATTAATTAATAAATAGGTTAAATTATTACTTTTATTAATAATTTATCTGATTATAAATTATAATTTAACAAGTTATTATTTATAATTTACAATTTTTGTCTATAATTTATCTGATTATGAATCATAACTTGACAAATTTATCCATAACTTATCTTATTATGAACCATAATTTAATAAATTATAACCTATTAATTTCTATAACTAAAAATTAATTTATATACTTTCTTAAGCTTATTGCATATTTTTTACTATTTTCGTTCTAGTTATTACTATTAATTTGGCCATAATAAGCTGGCCATCAAGATCTCTGTTCATTTGTCAGGACAGGGTGGGGTCCATGAAAGTTTCTTTGGATTCCCATGAAATCAAAAATGAAAATAAAAACAAAGAATTAACATTATTACTTTTTATTTTGTTATATTTGCTAATGAAACCAAAGTGTTGGAATTTGGACGTGACTAGGAAATAGGGTTGGTAACTTAAGTTTAAGTAACGACACGATAATATGATTTGAAACTCGTATAAAATTAATAGATTTGAGTTTATTATAAATAAATTTAAGTTATACTCGGATTGACACAATTAATAAATAAGTTAGGTTAGGGTTAACATCCTAACACGAATTGACATGATTAATTATATGTATCATTTTCAATTTAATAATATGTGATATAACATGAAAATTTATGACATATTAAATACCAATAATGTGAATTTTAATATTTGTAGGTAAAATTCATTTATTTTTCTTAAAAGAAAAGATAAATTGAACAATAAACATATTAAACATGTTTTGACCGTGTTAATTTAACGCAATTAATAAGTCATTATTATATTAGTTATTTATTCAATATATTAATTTAAACGTGTCATACAGGTTGACACGATTAACACGATAAATAAATAGATCGTGTTTGTATTGATATTTTTGACACGTTTAATAAACAGGTCTGACACGATTAATCAACGTTAATACAAACACGATCCACTAACACGAATTGCCACCCAAACAACGGCAAAAAAATGAGAACGATACATATAGTTAGAACTCCAAACAGAGTGATATGAAGAGGAGAATATTTCTTATCTATCGTTTTGGTTGCTGTACTTCCACCCCACTCAGACACCAACAAAAGCAGACTGCAAATTATGACCTCATTCATTTTACTGATTTGAGTTTTCAATTTCAATTTTACTACAGTAAAAAACTAATCACATCTAATTTTTTTTATTACAATTAAAAACTCTCACATAAAATCACATCTTAATTCAAATTAAAAACTCAAATCGACGAACCGAACGAGATGTACATATCTTCTAACAACCCTTCGATAAACCTTTTCTTTGTCTTTGATAGTCAAATGGCATTCAATAGACTTTAGCTTAAAAAGTTCTGTTTTTGAGCGGACAGCCAACAGTCAAATCAATCACGTTTTAAACAATGAATAAGCATGTTACAAAAAACATATCATTGATCACATAACAGATAATAACAGCCATCACACTGAAGGCAGACGCAACGAATCGAAATTTAAAACTTAATACATAAATAAAAGATGCTTATTCATTGATAGATAAATTAGAATATACAGTAAAGAAAATGCTCTGGGCAGAGTACTCCTTTTGAGAAGAAAAAATGCTAGGTGTCAAACGACCTTTGATTTTAGAAACTGTAAAATTCCTAACATTTAGAGTTAAATTAATAACTAACAAATTTATAAAAAGTGTTAAAAATAAATAAAACAACAAATGGCAACAACAAAAACCTATATTTTATACAAAGGGGGGACAGGACCTACAAATGGCATTTCCATTAAGATTAGGTCCTAAAGCTTTTGCCACTCCTCTACGGTGGCACAGAAAAAGAATAAAAACATTGGTGCCAACGCTATACAATACAAAGTCTCTCCCATCTTCTTCTACATGAAATAGCTTAGAGATTTCTTCTTTCTTGAACCGCCTTCTCCGTACAGGTCATTCCATTGGAGGAGCTCGTTCATGTTTGTCGATTCGGATGACACACTCGCACATACCTTTGCAATGAAAACCGGTAACAATCATTCAGACATGCACACAAAACAAGTTCATATGCAATAATCTCACCAAGTTTGTTTATCTGAAATAGGTGACATTATATGTACAAATGTGTGCATGTGTGTAGCGGCATAGCCTGGGAAAACCAAACTTCCACCAGGACATATACAAGTGAGAATCTTAAAATATAGAATATATCAGAACATAACACGTTAAATTGAAAAGGTGAAACACCAAGAAACTTAGGTTACGTTTGGTATGAGGGTTCTAGAACCGGAACTATGATTCTGGTTCAAACATTTGTTTGTTTGCAAAAAGTAAAAAATGGTTCTTAAAAATCAGTGTTTGATTTGGATGGTTCTGGTTCAAGATTTAAATAAGATTTAAATCCTGATGTGATGTTTTAAACCAGAACCACCTTAAAAAATAAAACCACCTCCCCACTTGATTTTGGATGGTTCAAACCTCTGAAACTGATTCTGGTTCCAGAACTATGGTTTGGACCCCAAGTTCAAACCATAAATCATGGTTCTAGTTCTAAAACTAAAACCGCCCAAATTTGAACTCTCATACCAAACGAACCTTATTTTTTAGACTATTGTTACACCTTTCGAAGGTGGGTCTTATCGATTATGTTGAATAAATCTCGGTAGTAGTCCCAAACCATAGCAAAAGCCTAAATATATATACACACACGCATACATACATACATACATATATATATATATATTATGCAAGATTGCAAGTACGTAAAAATGTATATACCTGCTCATGAGCACATTTAAAATCCTCCATTTTCAGATGACGAACGTCAGAACTGCTGTACAATGCGGCTAAAGGTCTGTTCTCCGCCAAAGCTAGAGCTCTCTCCTGAAATATGTGATTTATAAAAGGTAATTACCACACGCTCACATAGTGATAATAATATTAATAAAAGAATTTGAGAGTTAGACTAGATTAAAGTGTAAGCAAAGCAATTTAGATCTTATGTTTGTAACTTATAAGATAATAAGCAAATGGAAATGAAAAATGTTAAGATATCTAAACTGAACATGTATTTTCTACCAAGTTTTCCATCCAAAACCGTATTGAGAGATATGAGGACCACAAAACAAAGAGACAGAAAAATGGTAGGTTGTTCAACCAATCGCACAAAACTAAAAATTTTCCTAGGAGCTTCAAGCTCAGCACATCTAAATTTATAAAACTAACCTTTTTCTCCTTCTCCAAAATTTCCCTTATGGGACGGTGAGCTGCTGCTATGCAAAGATTCTGCAATAAGAAAGGTAATCAGATGAATGCCATAACATTCTTTGACATGTCAATCAGGGGATGACTAGGGGAAAAAAAATGTAAGTGCAACAATAAAATCAACAAATAACCTTTAGATCACTCCCAGAGTATCCATCGGTCATGTTTGCAATCGTTTCCAAATCAACGTCGGGTGCTAACTCTTCTTTTGCTAATATCACTTTAATGATTTTTTCCCTGTTAGGGCAATCTGGCAAGTTTACCATTAACCTGCAAAAGGGTTGATGCAAATTAAGTTAATTTTGCTTACTTCTTTCAGTTAAAGGGTAGAGTTGAAGAAAGGTGGGTGTTTTACCTCCTTGGAAGCCTCCTAATAACAGCCTCATCTAGGTCAAAAGGCCTATTGGTAGCACCAAGTACTAGCACGCGTTCTTTATCCTTTGTACGAAGACCATCCCAGTTAACCATGAATTCATTTTTCATTTTACGCATAGCCTCGTGTTCTCCTGGATTTTCACGTCTCCCCAACATGCTATCAACCTGCAACAACCACCACCAATTATTTTGGGCAATGAAATGAATTACAAGTGAAACTCACGAAGAAAACTGAAAGAAGTCTCTACGAGAATGAACAGTTACAGATGCAGCAACAAACCTCGTCGACAAAAATCACACTAGGAGCAATTTTACTAGCTAGAGAGAACACAGCTTTGACGTATTTCTCCCCTTCACCAAACCACTGGGAACAATGCATAGAGTTATCATATTGATTTTGAGTAAAAACACATGAAACAGTTTCACAGCCAATTTGATACACATCATACTTTTGAAGTGATGCTTGACATTGATATGTTGATAAAGTTTGCACCGGCTTCAGTGGCAACAGCCTTTGCAAGCATCGTTTTCCCAGTACCAGGAGGTCCAAAAAGCAATATTCCTTTGCAAGGCTGTAGAATGAATAAAAACATTTCAAAGGTTAAAAAGAATAATAAGAAGACAACAACAACAACAACAAATTATTATCAGAATACGGTTCAGGGAAACGAACCCAAACCATGCACATATATATATTAGATACGGAAGGGGCGGGGGGGGGGACATTTCACCTTAGTCAGCTGTCCTTTGTTAAACAATTCGGGCCTTTGAAGAGGGAGCATTACCAACTCCTTCAGAGTGTCCTTCACGTTCTCCAGGGCCCCAATGTCATCAAAAGTCACCCCAATGTCATTTGGGGGAATAACATCAGCAAGAAGTTTCTTCTCAAATTCATTCTCCGTGACCACATCCTATAAGCTCTTAAAGTTAAAAACCAATATGCTCAAAAAAAAAAAAAAATGAAGGGAAAGGAATTGGGGGAGCACTCTGCTTTCGAAAGGCTGGGAATATATATTAAATTCAGTGCAATCAAGCTAACATTGGGCTTACCTTCAGTGATTTTTTGACACTCTTGCTTTCATTTTGAATGCCTTGTAAGATATTTAGACCATACCTAATACTGTAATGCAAAACCAAACACCAATGTTAGGACAACGTAAAGAAATATATTAAGACCATTCTACTAGATCCTCAAAAGCATTCAATAAAATAATTAGGAAAAATTCGATAACCTCTCGGTAGATATTACTAATTTGTCCTCTTTAACTGAAGCTTCAGCACAATGCATAAAGTGGTAACTCAAGGCCCAACCAATAACTTTCTCCACATCTGTTCAAAAAGGAAATCATAGAAAGTTGAATAGCATAAGTTAATACTGGAGTAAAGATCACCAGCATAAACTTTCAGCAACAGAAAACCGAGTTCAAGAATACAAACTTTCAAATGTAAGTGCTTGATCCTTAATGCAAAGAGTCTCAATGTCAGGGCAATCCAAGCCAATCCGATCAAGCACCTAAAGACAGAATTTTATAAAGATCCAAAAGAAAAACATGTATAAGAAATACAAAGTCTGAAATAACATTTTACCAACAATAACGTAGGAACCAAGGCTCGTAGCATAAATCTTAGTTGAATCCCCGCATCAATTTGGTACTCATAGCAAAACATTAATAAGAAGTATAAAACTGTACCCTCCAATAATATCTAACCAGCAGCAAATAATCTAAGGAAATCAGGCCAGTAGCGTGCACTGGGAAAGGAAATCAGACCAGTAGCATGCACTGGGAAACTGTAAAGTCCTTTCATTACTAAAATAATACGAACCCATTTTCATTGCAATTGTGTCCAGCAATACTCTTCAAGAAACTAACATATCAAGGAGCAGCATATCATAATACTAGTTTAGGCTCCTAATAATCCACCATGCTTCAAGGTTAACATAAGGCAGCACCACCCACCACACTGTTTTGATTGCTATGGCAACAGAGTATGCATAATACTAATACCAAGTATTTCGACTTGTACTCCTTTAAGTAGCATAAATTTTACAAAGCTACAATGTAAAAATCCATATTTTTTTTTATAAGCGCTAATACTAGACAAACAACAATTTGAGAAGATTATCAAGCCACCTACACGCACAGGATTACTGCCCAACCTGATTAGATCACCAAAGTAGACAAGGTGCTAACCAGATGAAGTGTTGTCCATTTAGGAATATACTTAAGAAAGCCACAGCCACCAGCGAACAGCAATATAAGATTATAAATAAAGAAAGATACCAAGTTAGGATATATATACTCACTGTGCGAATGCTAACAATATTTGACTGTGCTTTCAAGGTTTCAACATCACGTTCCAACTGCTGCTTCCAGTCCGAAAGAACTGCTTCATCCTACCAGTATAGCAGACAATGTTGATGTATTACCGAAAGTTCCTCAGACAATAAGAATCAGCAACACCAGATCTATTTTACTGGAAAGCAGATTGATGGGCCTACCTGGGGCAACTGTATCACCACTTTGTTGGGGAAAAGTCGAGTCAGGTGCTTTATTGTTTTGGGGGTTTCTTTGTTTCTATCAGGCAGCCGACCAAAACTATCCTGCACGGAAGACAGTGATATATATTTTGGTTACTAAATGTAGCATGCTACCACAAGTCTATAGATATGAATGAATGAACAAAAAACCGTTGAAGATAGCCCCAAGGCCCCACATAACATCTTTTGAGAAATCCTGTAATGAAGGCATACCGGGAAAGCAAGATCAAGCAAAGCAGTCTGATTGCTTCCGAATTTTGTGAACAAAAGACCACCAGGATGGGACTGGAAACAGTACATGCAAATGCCAAACATTCAAAATTATTCTTAGGCATCTGTGCCCCAAAGAATAAAAACTATTAAAGGAGGGGGAGGGTGAACTGCTCCTCCTACTATAAGACATACCTTCTCCTTACGATTATCCAACTGGGTATGAGAGCCAATCACAACAACATTCTCAGGCAAATTTTCAAGCTTAGCCTTTAAGACTGTATACGCATCTGAGTTGGCCACCACAGCCTTTTCCATGTCTTTTATAAACAAAATTAAAGGAATGTTTTTACTCTCATTTGATGCAACCTAAACATGAAAGAGCTCAAAACTTAGTACAGACAACTGACAAATAACAAAAATTTTGGTCAATGAGGAACAAGTACCTCAAATAGTTCATTAATAGCAAGCTTGTCAAATTCATCACCTCCGGAACCATCTAAGCGCACTAAATGATTAACTGCATAGTAAGAAAAAAACCATATAAAGTAGTTAAAATAACTCAGCAACGAATAAAAGAACGTGATTAAACTGGATGCCATAAAGCAAGGGTAAATCACCTGAGCAGAAAAAACCATGGTTTTCCTCACAAAGGCCACCTAGATCATTTCCATCTGGAATCGATTTATCAAATCGAACCCCAATTTTTGAGGATCCATTACCCTCAAACGCAAGAAGAACTTTTCCTCGGTAACCATATGACGGTCCACTGAGAAACAAACAATCCAAAACAGATTCATATAACTTTCGCCAAAATATACAATAGAAATCACAACTAAATGACATCAATGGGTACCTGAGAGGACAACTATGTTGAGAAAGTCCCGGTGTAGGACCCACATATTTTACTTTATCACCTGTGCAATTTTACAGGAGTATAAGTGCTTGAGATGCGTTACAGTATTAATAAGAGCAACAAACACAAAAACGACCACAAGAAACTTGATAATGAATTAGGGGGGAAAAAAAAAAGGAACTGTGAGTATCATCATGCCTTTTTTAAGTGTACTGCCCCTAGACGATGCAGTAGATGTCTCCTGTTTCGGAGGAGCCTGAGAGCTTACAGTGGATCCACCCGTAATATCAGCCTCAACACTTGAAGCTGGTTTCTTATGTGACAAACAAGCAGCCTGTGCAGCTCGTTTGGGAAAAAACAATCTTTCCAGCCTTGTTCCATCTTTTAGATTATCAGAATCCTTAGGCGTTGGTCCCTGAGATTATTCCAGGAGTTACTAAGACACAAATATAGAACGCCCAAAGAAATGCAAATCCAATACTTCAAACCGGAACTTGAATTTCCAATATAAGAAAGAAACTTGTTTAAGAAGTAATTTTATCAAATGAGCAGCATATTTTCAGAAAATACTTGAAAAGAAAAAATAGATAAAATCCTACTTAAAAGGGGAAGCAAGTATAGACTTAAAATAACTTACCCCAGGCAAGATAAGAGAATCAACAATAAGTAGTCTAGCACCAAAATACTTGGCAAGTGCCTTGACCAGAGTTTCCTGATATATCTCCGATCCTACACAAAAAATGGAGAAAACAAAAACTTCAGAAGTGAACTTGGTGAACCAATCAAGAACATGAAAGGGCAAAACTGTCAAACGCACACCAGGAAGTCCATTCACTTACCTGCGGGACCGGACAACAGTATACGCGGGCTCACTGAAGGAAGGTCCGACGTGTATTTTGTAAATTTCTTACACTTCAGATGTATATATGTCGAAGCAATCAAAATGTTCTTTGTTGCGTCACTGTAACAATGCAAAATACATGAGCAAAAACGAGAGTAAAGAAATATCAATTAATCATAGCCAAGGAAGAATAACAGAGACAACGTAAGTGTCTCATCTACTTTCTGCATGACTCAAAACAGATGTATTAAGAGCAATATTATTGAATAAGGAAAGTAAGTTGCTAAGTATAAGTCTCATGTCGTACAATTAAATAAATGTTTCTACCTTAGGTAGTATGGGAAACTTTCAAACAAAACTTCAATATCAGCTGGATTTAGAACTCCTTGTTGCAATTTATCTTTAAAAGCTTGTTTCCTAGTTGCTATCAAACCTGGACGATCAAAATCCTTGAGGAGTTCTTTAATCTCCCTTTGCTCCTCAATTATTTTTGAAATGCTACCACTTAAATCAAAGTTAGAAGAAGATGAGCCAGCAAGTATTCGCAAGAGTGGCCTTAATTCATAAGGTGGCCCAGGGACCTTTCCCACTTCACCATCTGGGTTAGCATCCAAGGCAATGCTGTCAAGATTGGGGTTTTCATTCGCAGCATCAGGGGATGGCACGATCTCTTTTTCCCTTGAAGATGTACCAGCCTGATCATTGTTATTAGAACAATCCTTCATGTCAATGTCTGTAGCAATATCACCTGACCCTACACAGCCAGTAGGTAGGGAGGATATCTCCGCATCTTGTTGCAATTCTTCAGCAGCTTTAGCAGGTGGGGGGATAAGAGATAAATCTTTTCTATAATTTGACAAAGAAGCTAATATTGATGCTCCAGCCACAGCAGAGGGATCCCCAGATCTCGCCTCAATATGCATCCCCTTAACTGGAGAACTCTGGGCTTCTAAGATGCTTACTGAAGAAGGAATGGCAGGAGCTAAGCTGTCACTGACGAGCTGCTGGAAAATCTTACCCGGTGTCAAGGGATACATTGAAGATTTATGTGACAGGTAACAAACATAATAGCGACAATTAGTACACAAAACAATCTGAAAGACAACATGACATAAAGACGATGCCTAGACGGTTTCTGTAACAAACAAAGCTAAATCAAAAGTATCAAATGTTATTACTCAAGGCTGCAAGGAGCCAAGTTGAATGGGAAAAGGATACGTAAGCATGCCTCCCAAGTGAACTAAACACGACCTCATCACCTCCAGTTAAAATCACCCTAGAACTTCTCTGATAAGTCTTTCCATTTACTAGAACGGCACCTTTGCCCCCAGTAATCTCCAGCAATGCAACAGATGCATTACCACGCTGTAAAAATTCATAATTAATAGTAAACAGATGTCAGTACCATCACAGCCAATTAGCAAAGGTATTGTAAAGAATATGTTACTCCCAGGAGCATTTACATATTGAAGTGGTCATGTTTTCAAAACAAAAAAGTGCCCCAAAAATAGACATACCTTTAAGTGTCTCAATCTACATAAAGTATTACTGATTGATGGATCTTTAATTGATAAATTGCATTGAACGCTTTGACCAACAGTGAAAAGAGAGTCGCGAATAAACAGGTGAGGGTTCTGCCAGGGAAACACAAGAACCGTGAGATTAGTTCAAACAAAAGAACATTAAGATCATAACCATGCTTTAACAATTAAAAACAAAAAAACAAAAAACAATGTTTCAGTTTTCCCGTATTACCATAGGAACAGGAGAAAGAAAACAACAGCATACACGAAAAGTAAACACTTTCGCAGCCAGAATATTCATAAAAAACAAAAGGAACCACAATCCAATTGCCCAAACCACCCAAAATTCCATAACTCCCACAACCAGCAAAGATAGAAGTAAATGAACCTTCAAAAAGTGCTATGTGAAAGATGCATATGTTAATATTTGATAATATAAAACTCATTGGGATGACTTTGTAAATAACAGAATATTGATTATGATTCATGAAGACGTCAATACATCTGATACGATTGCTATCTAGTTCTCATTCAATTCCCCCTTGCTAACAAAAATGACACAATCATCCCTAAGCAACAAATAAGAATATGTCAATATGAGGCCTCAGTATGCAGCACTTAAAGCCTCACGGAACAAGCTTGAAGGTCAAAACTGCAACATGTTCCAGTAATCTCTCAAGCAACACAGGCATTCTCAACCTGCATCAAATATTACTCCAATTACGAAACAAGGTTGGTCCAATCCACTATTGTGAAGGAAGTTTCACAGTATATGAAAATTTACACTTCTTGGCTATTTACACCACACCCTCCCCTCTGGGCTAAAAGATCCCACCATTCACCTCAACCACGTGTCCTATCAAATCCACTTGACAATTGACCATACTTTACAAAAAGGGTTCGGAATCAAAACAGCATAAAGCCTAACACAACCAAGCTTGTATTGCGACAGCAGTACAAAGACCCTAGGACAAACTACAAAGATTTCTCAAAGAAGTAATTTCAATACTAATATCACAGAAGAAGTGAAAAACCAACAAGAATATTGCACATAACATCTGGAGGAAAAAATAAACCACCCCATTTTAGCGTGTCATGAGTCATGATAAGGTATTGTATCTACTGGGATATACACATAACAAACTTAATTTTCCCAGAAATAACGCCAACTTAATTTTCCCCAGTTGTTTAGGCATAACAAACTTGGCAAATAACAAAAAGACTATGACATATCAATTTGTCATGCAGGCACAGCGTATTTTGAAATAAAAAGCTTAACAATAAGAATTCAAACAGAGGTGGACAAAATCTCAAAGCAATAGCAATATAAACAATACAGTAACCAAAGTCACTGTTCATTTGTCTCAGTTCCTAAGAACAGCAGTGCGACGACACGGAAGAAAAATCTCGATCACCATTAAGACAAAACAAGAGAGAGAGAGAGAGAGGCAAATAAGGTAAAAACCCACCAGAGAGCACTGGGAAAGAAGTTTTCCCCAAGCCGCTTTCGGATTCGACTTCGGCAGCTTCGACGGACGCTTCTTACCCCGACCGCTCGCCGGAACAACCGCCTTCGATTTATCCGCATCAACAGCCGCCTCACCTAAATCAACACAACGCAAGACTCAATCTTTCCGACAACAAAAAAACACCTAAATTCAAGAACTGGTAAAATATCTCACCTGAAAGTTGCGGCGAAACCAAAGCCAGATCTTCGACCCCTTCTTCGGCTGACTTCTCCGGCAAGGTCGCGTCGAACTCCGCGACGGTGGCGGCCTCCTTCAGAGGATCGGGGTTGGCCGGATCAGGGGAACGGAGCTCCACTCCTCCCGATTCCGACACGGCTTCCTTCACCGGACCCAAGAGCTCCGCCGGCTCAACGCTCTGAACCTCGTTCGTCGACGACGAAGACTCAGACGCCTAGGGTTTTTCCGATCGCCGATCGGAGAATCCAAACACCCAAATCCCAATCAAAAAACCAAAATTCAAGAAAGAAGCGAAGAAATTGGCGAACCTAGAAGCACATGCAAAGGCCTTTACCTTGGATCGCTTGGGGGGGTTGGGCGGAGGAGAGGAAGAAGATAGGGCGCGTTTGGAGGAGGAGCTTCGCCGGGTCTCGACCATGGTGACGATGGCTGGGTTTTCCTCGCCGTTGACGTTGTCCTCAGCTTCCGATCCAAACAAGGTTCTGTGGTGCGGCCGCACAGAGAACCCAAGAGACAGAGAGAGACACAAGAAAAGTGAATGATTGAAGAAGACCAGTTTATCAAAGCCAAAAAATAAAAAATAAAAATGTATATTAATAAAAAAATTCTGTATTTTCTTTTAAATGTCTTTCTTTTCCTTCTTTTCTTTACGTTTGTTTGTTTGTTTGTCTGTCTCTCTTATATATATAGACTGCTTAAGGATTATTATTTTTTAAAAATTATAAGGAGAAGAGTAAAATTGTAATAGGGTAGAGTAATTCATGTGGCGGTGGCGACATAGGGATTTATAGCCATTTTCTTCTTCTTCTTTTTTTTTCTCTTTTTCTTTCAAGTGAAATTATTGCCCTTTTTCTTTTCTTTTCTTTTCTTTTTTTTCTTAGTCTGGCCCTTTTTATTGTTATTGTTATTTTTTTATGGAACTTTATATTATTATATTATTACTAAAAATAACTAATGGGATTTTTCTTTTTTAGATATTATAATTATTAATAATACGATCTTTTACGTGTATATATACATAATATGCAATATGCATATATATGGAAGGTGAGAGAGATGGGTGGGTTTATGGCTTTTGGAGGTGTTTGGTGAATGCCTAGAGTCCTAAGCTTACTACTAATTTGTTTTTATGTTGACGATTACACTACCTAACATATCCATTTATAATACATTCTTAGATGAAAAGCCGAATATTAACGATCTCTCATGTAGTTTTTTTTTTTTTTTTTTTTTTTTTATATATTT